CAGAAATAATATTACGCAAAGAGGGGCTAGAATTTTTTCAATCTATAAATAAGAAATTTAAATATATTAATAATTAACTTAACACCACAATTGTTATTAAATATGTATTAGTTTGAATTGATAAATAAAATTCAAAATATTAAAAGATTTAATATTACAATTGTTATTTAAAATGCATTAATTTGATTTTAACTTAATTTTTGCCATGCCTATCATAATTTTTGTTTACTTTAAAACTAATTATATAAAAAAAATCAATTGACCCGCCTGTCTGATTTTGCAGCTCTCATTCAGACAGGGCATATACTTTGATCATATAAACATGCAGCTCTTATATATATTATGATACTGGAGTTTATTTAGCAAAAAATCTTTTACTGTTTTACTTTACCTTTGGAGTATCCTGACTCCATCTGACTTCAGCTATGCTGAGTTTAGGCCAGCTGCCGCTTTACTCTGATGTCTAGTGTAATTGAAATGTTCGACTTTAGTGCAGCGCGACGCGAACTCAATTGAAAAGGTAAACAAATCAGAAAGCTGGCCACAAAGCGTGACATTAACACAGCGGCCAGAAACTATGCAAATGACACAGCAGCTGCCCAAAGACCGAACCTCGACGCGCCAAAGCATTTTCCGCCGCTCCGCCCACGGCTCACACGCCGCGCTCCTCTGATGCTGACGCATGGACACAGAGACAGCGGAAGCGCCGAAAATGCGACAGGAATGGGGCTGCGGCGGGAGAGTGACTGCAGCTGGAGGGAGGTGGGAGTAGGGGTAGGGGTCGGAGCAGCCACAAATAGATTCCGAATGAGGACGCGAATGCGACAGACTCCGACAATTGCGTATTGTCCGGCTGTTTTGTTTTTTCTGCCGGACTCTGACTCGGACACAGTGAGGGGCTGCAGGTTGCTGTCGTCAGTCTTGACATTTGAGTTTGTTATGCGTGCAGATGTATCTGTATCCTTGTATCTGTGTATGTATGTGTGTGTGTGTGTGTGTGTGTGTCCACAGCTGTGTATTGACTAGCAACTGTGGATTTGTCAGCAGCAATTACCGTTGATCTCAAGTGTTTTTTATAGCCATCTTTTGTTATCGGTCGTCTCGTTGTCGTCGCTATTGTTGTTGTTGCTGTTGTTGTTGCTGTTGCTGCTGTTGTTGTTGCTATTACTGTTGTTATGGCTGTTGGCACGTATTCCCACGTTCGACTCATCGCATTCAATTTGCTTGATTTTATTTCCGTTTTTCGCCGCATCGCCGCATTTTCTTTGCCAGCCAGCTCTTGCCCAGCGGCACCTGCAGTCCGCAGTCAGTTCGCAGTCCCTAGCTCTTGCCATTTTCCTCCAATTCTATTTTTGTCCATGATTTTGATTTTGATTTTGATTCGTCGCGTTGCCAGTGCAACTTGAGTGTGCAATTTGATTTGATTTTCGGCAGCGCTGCAGAGCTCTGGCATGTCCTTGCGGCTGCTCTCCGCCTGACGGGCAGTTGCGGTCCCGCTCGCTATTAAAATCGACTCAGCCGAAATTCAGCCACAGCCAACACGAAATTGCCATTTTGTGTTTAATGCCAGCCGGCCAGCCAGCCGGACAGACAGTTGTGTATTTTGAGTATTGCATTTTTAGCCATCCTGCCAGGGGAAACGCCAACTATCTGTGCCAGGATATGTCGCTGGCTGTTTGTTCAGCGACAGGATATGAAGTGCTCCTCGATTGCCACTGGGTTACACATAAGTGCGCCACGTGTCCAATATTGCAGCTCAACTAACACCGGGCACCGCGTGACCCACTGCCTCAGTCAATATTTATGCCAATCCTCGACTCTATGCGAGGCAATAGCCAGCCAGAGGTGACACTGACTCGTTTCACTTGTCTGTCGCACAAATATGCACAATAATATACTTATTTATTATCACACAAATCAATTGTCTCCCCAATCAGAATACACTCGACTGCAATAGATAGTCTCATATAAAATGCCTTTATTGTATTCGAAATTTTGACAGCTAGCATAGTTCATCCCTCACTGGCAACAATAAGTAGTGCATACCTGTTCACAAAGTGTAAAGAGTTTTATAGAATATTTATATTATTAATTTAAGATAAAAACTTAAAGAGAAAATTTAATTTAAATTTGAAGCATATATTAATTGGTATTCCTAAGACCTAATGAAGTGGTTAATATTGTATGCTTGAAATGCAATTTGTTAAGGCGCTACCAACTTTAAATTTGATGTATAATTATACACCTCACTCAGTACAATAAATATATTCTAATGAAACTAGTTAGCAAAATCTGGACATATACCATACAATTTAAGCCAAGTCAATCTTTTGGTTATACGTTGTTTTGCACTAATATTACTATTATTATTATAAATATTTATTATAAAATATGTAATTTACGCATGCTTTGTAGATCTTAAAAATTTCTTCCTAATACTTAAACTGTTTAAATAATTTCCGTATGTAATGCGCTTTTCCTGCGCCTCTATGAATTTTAAAACGATTCGGCATGAATTAGAAAAATTTTGGGAAGTCTCATCCAATATATTCCAGTTATATCATATCCCGGAAGCATAAATGTCAATATTTTATTGTGTTTAACTGCCTTCCCCCTCTATAAATCCTGGCTTTATATATGCGTAATTATATATTTTTCTGTTATTCCTATCATTCAAAGCTTCTCTTAGGTGATGCCTTATGGTCATGATTATACGAAAGCTATCATTGAATAATTTATATTACAATATATTAATATAATATTGTAAGTCATTCAAAATGATATCTAAATTTAAAAATTACTATTAAGAACTATTTATGATTGTTAAATAACATTCCAAGCTGCTTTAGCTCGTATGACCAATGGCCAATCGTGACCAGAGAGCCCATTGGAGCTACGTAAACTATTCACACACATATAAATTCCTTGAATTCATATATTACGGCTTATCGCATGAAGACGATTCTCATTCGGGCAATTGGAACATGTAAACAGAACTATTAACAGGTCATAACTGCTGCTGCTTCTGATTCTGCTGCTGCTGCTGCTGCTGTTGGCCTTGCTTATTTTTTTTGTCCGCATTTTTGTGCAGATCCTTTTAACAGTTATTCAGATGTGTTTAATACACTCAGCTGGTGCCGCATGAGTTGACCCCGTTGAGGCTGAGGCGGCAGCAGGCGGTGTTATCCCTTCTACACGGACGGTTGGACTGCGTAAGGCCGCGAGGAAGCGAGACAGCGAGACAGCGAGCAGGCGAGGCAGCTGGGCAACCAAGGACATTGTATGCCTGATTTGGCAAGGATACACGGCGTGAGCTGCGCGGCCCCAGATAGATGGAGAAGATGACAAGAATGTCTGGGGACAGTTTTTCAGATATTTGTTGCCGTTGATGTCGGGGGCTGCCTTCATTTGCAGCCGTCGTTTGGGCTGTCGACTGTTTTACTTGTTATTCGATGTGAATGGGAGTAGACGGTGCCATACTCAACTCAACTATTTCATTTCATTTAATTTGATTTATCTGCTCGGCCGCTCGCTTGACTCTTGCCTGTTTTTTAGCAGAGAGCAAACGGCAGACACGCCCCTCGGTTAACGCCCACGCTCTGGTCGTAGGCCACATCGCTGCTCATTTATAATGAAAACAGAGCACATCCAAATCCGAATCCAAATCCGAATCCAAACTCACACAACATGGCAGCTACGGAGGCCAAGCATATTCTTGAGGCCTGCTCCAGCGCCAGTGCCACGTCCTTGAGTCGTAAAATCTTCACAGCTTGCGCTCGGCCCATGTCGTGGGCCGTATTTGGCATCGGCTCTGCGGCAGGCATTTCTCTCCGAGCAGCAAAAAATGCGAAGCCAAAAGATTAAAACCATAAATTCTGTTGCGCTTAGCAGCGAGGCGAGCGGCTGAGCTCGCTCTCAGGCCAAAGTCAAATAGAAATTGTGCAGGGCTGGAAATTGGGTGCCAAAATTAAATCATGAAATAATGCTATACTTAAGAGCGCCCGGCATTTGCCCGAGCCAATAATTCAGATTTACAAATTAAGCAAATGAAGACGCTGTGATAAGAACTTATCATGGAAATGATGTAGCCCAAAAAGTGTTATTAAATTTTGAAAAATATCTGATTATAATATTTGTATGTAGTATAAGTGAACTTATGTTTATTGTGTATAAATATAATATAAATATAAATAAATAGATATATATATTTGTCATAGTGATTGATTTAATTGGAAAATTTTACATATATTATATAGATATTTATATTTCATTAATATTTATTCATCTTATATATAAAATTATTATAATTAATTATTTTTAAAAATATATACATAATAATTAATCAAACTAAAGTCCAGGAAATATTTTCTAAATTTATCTGCGAAACTATTTGCTTGCCCTGAGCCCTGTTTCTATGGTTTCTTGGCGGCACTTCATCAGAGTGAGTTTTATTTTAGAGGTCACACTCACACACACACACACATGCACAGATTTGTGTCGGCTTAATAGAATTACGCATACGCCATGTGTGCGCACAAAAACAACCAAAAATTTAGTCGCATGCCTCCACGCACACATATTACGCGCTTCTGCCTCTGAAATCTTTTGAAAGGTTTTTCGGTTAAATATTTTGCATATTTCCAAAGCGAATGTTGAGCTGAACGCTGCGTGGGGTTTGCGCACTACGCCACAAGGTGTGTGTGTGTGTGTGTGTGTGTGAATGTGATACATAGTTGATAATTTCATTATGGTTAACTGTAGTTTATTGATTTTATCAGCATATGCTCATATTTAGTGACATGAAACGTCGCCCGAGGCTGCTTAAGATTCATGAAATATGTATAAGCCCTGGAGCAGCCTCTTATAATAAGTCCTGAGCCAATAAATGCTTCTCTTTGAAAACTTAGTAAGCCTATTAGGAACTTTCAGCTCCAGCTCAGCGTTGTTGTACTATTTGTTACACTCTTATCAATTGTTGTTGCATTGTTTTTGTTGTTGTTTTGTTGTTTTGTTTATTGTTGTTTATCAGTTCTTTTTGGATTTTGTTCAAGTGTTAAAGATATCGAAAATTTAAACCATGGCGGTCGATGCTATTATCTGGAAACTGTCGAAATTGTGCGCTTCTTCTTCAGATTCCGAATTAACCTCTGATGCAAATTTGTTTCGCCAGACCCTGGCAATGCCTACGGTTACGAACCAGGAATCATGGTTTGAGCGCGATCCGAGCATGAAGCGCACAGTGCTCTTTAATGCCGAGGATCGAGCCTCGTCCAACAAGAGAGCGTCGTCCATGTACTATCGTCCGTCCCGCTTTACGATCGGAATGGGTCAGGGAAGCACTCTGTTTGAACCCAGAGCGAAGAGCGTTCGCGCAACACTCTCTGTTAAAGCCGACTTTGGCAATTTTGACTCGAGTTCGAAATTCAGGCACTTCCGGCACCGTCACCGAGAAGATGCCAAATTTGTAACACACTACGACATGAACGCTGTGCATGAAAAAAAGAAAGCTATGCATCACTTTTTGGAGGCCGAACCAAGCTATACGCGCTTCAAAGTCCCTTTGTGAGTCGAGGAAAATTTTAGATTGTTGTCTTAAATGATGAATGATTATTTTTAAATTGTGTATCCACAGTCAGATAGCATGTGCGGAGCGCTATAAGAAAAACATCAAGAAATACAATCAGCAGTTTAGGCGGGAAATCGCCAAACTGGTCGATAATCAATCTTCAGCTCGGGATGCTACATATTTTGTTCGGTAAGGCCTTTGAAATCCCTCTTAAAATCACAGCATAAACGTTATCATATATTTATCCTAACAGCATGGTGTCTTACACTACCCTATGGCCACCATATCATAATGAGAGAGAACTCTATGATACAAGCAACAATTTCTTTAGGCTGACTCCCGCGGAGAGCGCACGACTGCAATATATCATGTCAACAGATTTTTCATATCATTAACAAAAAAAAAAAAAAAAAAAAAAAAAAAAAAAAAAAAAAAAAAAAAAAAA